TATTTAATATTTAATTAATAAATAATAATTTTATTGTTAACTATATTTGTTAATAGTTTGAATTACCTTTTTTATTTTTCAGCTTTTATTTTCTTTTTAGTTTACGTTTTAATCATTTTTATGTGCTTTTGTCATTTTTATTAGTTCAGTACTTCTATTTCAAGATTTCATTTATTTTATTTCAGTTTTAGTTTTAGTAATTTAGGATTTTGACTTATTTCAGTTAGTTGCCAAGGCAACATTTCATATTTTCATATGAAGTTTTTTAAGTAAGTGTTTTTTCATGTAATTATATTTTATTTGATTTCAGCTTGATTTCAGTTAAAGAAAATAATAAACGCCCATAAACGCCCCATTCACAGTCTTCCATCTGTAGGACAAAAAAGTAGTCCTGCCCATAACTCACACCAATGACTGGGGCAAAAGTTGACACGTCAGAATGGCTTGTTTAAATGTGCTCATAAAACTGAGACAGCATAAAGTATTCTAAAATAAAATAAAAACTGACACAATTCACCTTTGTCATGTCCTTCAGCGTTGTAAAACAAACTACAAAAGCTGAATCTAACTAAATTATGTATTTCACCTATAGCATTATCTGTGCTCTTCAGACTGTCCTTACCTGTCCCTTAGGTCCGGGCTCCCCAGATTGTCCCTGTTAGACGGAGAGACGCAGTTTCAAGATGAACAGAAGTCCTCTGGAACAAATCTATTAAATAAATGTACCAGACTACAGCCTTATTTACCTTCTCTCCTTTCTCTCCAGCCAATCCCTCTACACCAGGATCACCCTGTGAAAGAAGCAGGTGAGATCCATCAATGTCTCCTTCAGTCGTTATCTTTTATGATATGGACTGTGATGTATGGTTTCTATTTCACTCCATAAATACGTGTACGCATTTATCTGAGGGTGTACTCACAACGTCTCCCTTTGATCCCACTTTGCCTTGGAATCCCTGTAAGGAGATGCAATTGTACATCAGACATCTCTCAAGTGTCAGCCCTAATGGGTGAGGCACAGGGAATTTATTGTTGGTAATATCTTACTTTACCGTAAACTTTCAGAGCACATTAAATCAACTGGCTTTTACTGCCAATATTCAATGTATTAAACAGCAAGGATATTATAGATTAAAGGACAACAAACATTAAAGTGTCCATAAGAAGATATTTCATACTGAATTGAGGGGCATTATTTGGAAACATGGACATGAATTATCTAAGTGCATAGATGTCCTCTAGTGAAAAGAGTCCAATCATGAGTTAAGACTGCCCCCATGTGGTCAAACCTCATCACTCTGTCAGTTTAAACAGGAAGAAAGTTAATTTACTCTTAATTACTGTTTATATGGTCACAAACCTTTTCTCCCTTAGTTCCAGGTAGACCCTGAGCACCTGGGATGCCCATGGGTCCCCTCTCTCCCTTACTGCCCTGCAGGTACAACAGAGAAGACAAGTGAAGGATTGAAATAGACAATTATATATATA